TTCAGGGATCAGCTGCACCAGCTCCGGTGAGGACTCCCAATTTATTAATTGGTGAAGGGATTTCTATTTGACAGTTCAGATTCGTTCTGTTACGTTCTCGATTTCCGTTATCGGTGTCGAGTTAAGAAAATATACGTTGCAAGGTACATGTTATTTGTGGATCGCAGTACTATCAACGTATGTGGGTGAAAATTCACCCAAAGGTCGATCATGTGACACGTTCGTTTATCTAAAATATTTTATTTCAAGCACCTCAATTTTGTCATTTTTTTACGTTTACGCCTATTCTACGTATAATGTGTGAATTCAGCTAAGGAGAATAATTTAAATTGAAAAATGAGTGAAATGTCAGCGAAGGAGCGCACGAGGGTTAAGTGAAAACGTCAAACGTTAATTCTTGCTCCCATTTGTACCGTCGCTTTCTACTATGACTTCCTCGCACCCTGAGATCGGTTCAGCTTCGTCGATCAGGACAACTGTAAGTATCGGATGCTGATACGGAATTTGAAAATACCCTATGGACGAGGCGTCGCAGAATGCGTGCACGTGACTAGCTCCATGATCTGCACGGTTATGTTTTGATTGCAGTCGTTGGGCCGCTCTTGTCATTGCGTAATTCAATAGAGCTCGAAGGTCCAGCCGAAATAGGGGGACCGGGCAACGAGAGCAGTAAACTTGTGCGTGCATGCGTATAGGATGCGTATAGGGGCCGCACAGAGTGCGAGAAGGACACGAAGAGGAGAGTGTGCGGGATAGCGGACTATGGTGCACGTATGTATAGTTGTATACATACCTACACATGGTGCTCGCACCCTGATAATACGTCGATATAGCGCACAGTGCCAACAGCACCGGCACAGCTGGCAATAGCAATGCCAACGGTAATTCACCAATATCGAAAGTGTTTGTCGATAATTTCCTAGCACAGCGTATAGCTCCTAGTTGGTAGCGACATGGTGTCTCCGTGGTCCGTGAGCAGCGATTATTTACCTACTTTGACACACCCCACTTCCGTTCGTGAATCCCCCGACGCCAGTCGCTCGCCAAAGCCGATTTTACCAAATCTGCGTCCACCGTCGCTCGAAATCCGCGAACCCTTAGTCGTTACTACCGTAGCGCCGCTCGGACGATGTTCGAGGGTGCAATCGTTGCCGCTTGAGAATAGTCGGATAGTCGGAGGGACAAGCAGCGAGAAGGATCCGTTGGCGGGCGTCACCTTCGACGTCGCAACGGTAATACCTCGATCGCCGACGCCTCTGCTTCTCGAGACTCCTACCAAACTATTTTCGTTCGCAGAAGCATCGACTCGGCTCTTCCGCGTACACGAATAACGAGAATAGCTCGTTACTCCGAGGTAATACGGAGTTTCCTTCCCTTTCTCTCTCATCTCCCTCCTCCCTCCTCCTTCCTCCTTCCTCCTTCCTCTCGTCGCCCACCAACCTTCTGTAACGTACTATCGGCGGCAAACCTGTACGCTTCTTCATACCATATTACGCCGAAGAGCAAGAAAGCATGTATGAAAATAAAGAATGGCGAAAACGGGACCTTCTCATGGTCACGAGCCGAAAAGATTGATTGGTACTTGCGTTAACCCATATGGCAATATTCTAATATCTATCGTATAGATCGTGTACCAATGGTATGCATATAGTATTTTATATATAAAAATAGACATATAAAGTCTATATTTCACCTATGCTATAGAAAATTTAAAAATCTCGCAAAAGAATAGTTCATTATTATTACCATAATTAAATATTTTAATGAAAAAATTCAATGTCTAAAGAACATTTCGACTTTGTCAAAGTTACTATACTACTACAAATACCTACGTATAGAATTTACATTAATTTCTTCATCGCCTCCCGACTCTCGAGTGCGTAATTGTTTTACTGCATCTTAACTCTGCTCCTCAACATCTATCATTTGCTTTCTAATCGATTGACGAATTTACTTACGAGAAATTCCTTAAATTTGATAAAGGGCAAAACACGACAGCGATGCTTGCGAAACTTTTCCAGTTGTCGTGAAATCGTGTGGTACACGCGACGGGATGAATATGAGCGCGCAGCGCACCGTGTGTCTTCTTGCTTCTTGTATATTATAATAAAACCGACTGTATTCGCAATCATCGTTGCGAAACTTTGTCCATCGTCAAATTCGAGGAATTTCTGGTGAGAAAATTGAAAACTTTTCCAACCTACGGGCAAGCGACTTGATTTCCAGTGTAAAGGAAAAGAAGCCAGCAAAAAAGAAACGGGGACTGTTGGCATTTCCAGATATTCGTGCGATACGCGTGCGCCAACAATAGGAGCAACAGAGAGAACAAGAATATCTTGATGCATACATTTTGTAGTAATGAGCAGAACTTGGATCGCGCTGAAGAGCCCTGCGGCACCGGGAAACTCGGTCAAGCTGAAGGAAAAAACACGGGAGGAGGAAGTGCTAGAACGTGTCAAGAAACAATAAAAGAAAGTAAAAACTTGAGAGAGAGAGAGAGAGAGAGAGAGAGAGAGAGAGAGAGATTCGGGCAGAGCAAAGGCTAAACGAGACGAGTCAATGAGTTCGATGTGAAGCAGCGGTGTAGAGCGTAGCGTCGCATAAAGCCCCGGCAGAAGAGAAAGAAAAAGAGAGAAGAGATCACGCGTGCGGTTCTTCGCTTGTTAGATCGTTGTTACAGAGGACACGACGAGGTTTCCCGGCGTCGCGGGGCGTCGCGGGGCGTCGAGGGGCGTCGAGCGGCGTCGAGCATCGCGCCGGTGTACGACATGCACAGTGTGCGCGCGCAGAGACTCGACCGGCATCCGCGAGGAGTCGCTGCCTCCGTGGCCGGCCTCGGCTCTGCGTACACGGGCCGCTCAGTCTAATTTGAACCGCCGCGTGTGCCCATCGACTCACGGGCTTACTGATCTTTTCATCGTGTCGCACGCACCCACGCACCCACGCACCCACGCGACCACGCGACCACGCGACCACGCAATCGCACAGCCGCGCATTACCACAGAAGCAACCAACCACGAGACATTAGCCCGTGTACGACTGTCGACGACAAGTGCTTCGAGTCGCCACTTTACACGGTTCCCTTTCACGAGTTTCTCAACCACCAAAGTCCGATAAAGTTTATTCCTCGAGGCGACTGTCACGTCTCTCACGTTTCAATAGCATTGTCAACCCGTCAAAATATTCCCTGGAAGCAAGACTGCGTCTTCCCACCTTTCCGTTCCCTTTTTTCTTTTCTCTTCTTTGTCAGTCGGTTTTTCCTTCACCCACTTTTCGTTCTCCTAACTATTGACGATCTCGCTGGCACTGCCACCGCCAACGCTCTTTGCTACCGATTCGACCAGAATATATCGATACGAAAGGTCCTGGCAATTACTTGCTCGAGGCCAAGGCCTCTTCCGCTATCTTGGCATCCTCTACGAAAAGCAGAAATTTAAAAACCCAAAACGGACGAGGAAAACAAAATCAAAGACTCATCGGATAAGAGATGAGGAACGGAAGCGCAAAAGAAACATTTTTTACTGTGCAAGTTAAAGTGCAACGGCGAACGAAGCTTCGAATGTAAGGATAGACGGGTGAGATTTGTGGGACCGAAGAGAGGCGCTATTTAAATAGTAGAGAGCCAGAGAGCGAAGGAGGCGCGCACGCACAGATCGGGTAAAGTGCAACGCGATACCTCGGCCGACAGTGACAACTGACGGCACGCCGGAAATAGCAAGGACGGCCGTCTAAGCGCGAGGAGGATCCGCATTCAGAAGGAAAGTAATTCAGTTAAATCAGGGAAATCGTCTCGGCGACACTCCCGTTCACGGCAGGAAGTCTTCCAGGATGGTCGGACGCAGGGATAGCTGCGATGATTAGTGCACACTCACGACGGCTCCATCAACGTCCGCCTCCGGCAGCAGACTCAGCGTCAGCGTCAGCGTCAGCGTCAGCGCCAGCGCCAGCGCCAGCGCCAGGATCTCCGCGAAGAACGAGAACGTCACGATAGCCGTTCACCGTCGTCCTCGCAAGGCCGAGCACCTCGCTCCCGATATCGGCGCACCACCATGTGGAAAACGGTCCTCCCTAAGATGACCATTAGGAAGCTTCGGTTCCATCTAGACACGAGACTCATCAGCTGTCCATGCCGGTTCTGGTACAACGCCTCGTGAACTTGAAATACGTTGAATGTGCCGCTGGCCAATGCGTACAAAGCGAAGAAGAGCAGAGTGAAGCGGCCCCGCCGACTCATGTGAATCCAATAGTTCTCAGGCAAGACGCGAGACGCTCAGGGAGCTCGCAGGACTCTCTCGGTGCGTGTCCTTTCTATTTCCCTGTGGCCCCGTCCCTGCGTGCCTTTGCGTGTGCGAGCGTGTGAGAGAGAGAGAGAGAGAGCGCGCGCGCGCGCGCGCGCGTGTGTGTCCGTGTGCGTGTGTGTGCGTGCGTGAGTGAGTGTGTGAGTGAGTGCGCGCGCGCGCCCCTTAGCGCGTGTTTCTCCATCTCTCTCCAATCCCTTCATCATCCCTCTGTACCTGAGACTACATATATTCATTGATATATCAATCTCTCCCGCTTTCTCTTTCTTTCTGTCCGATCGTCTGTTTCCCCCTCCCCCTCACTCTCTCTCTCTCTCTCTCCCTCCC